CAAGATGGCCCCAAGAAGCGCCCAGGAGGCACCAAGGGGCCCCAAGATGGCCCCAAGAGGCCCCCAGGAGGCCCCCAAGAGGATCCCAAACGGCCCAAAGAGGCCCCCCCGAGGCACCCAAGACGCCGAAAAGCCCATCAGGACGACCGCCTACTCGCCTGGGCGTCGTTCCTGGACGGGCTGGTGGGGATACGCGAAGCGTGATGAATTAGGATGAGGGCCAGCGCTCGGCGGGGACCGGCTCCCCGGGGGGGGAAACATCGACCCAGAATCGGCGATGCATCGCCGATGGATCGGGGAGAGGCCCCCGACAGCGAAGCCGCACGCTCCTGGGCGGGGTGGGCCTGTCGGGCCCCGGTCGGCGACCATTGGGCGATAGGGGGTCGATGCGTCCCCACTGAGCCGATCCCCCCACGAACCAGTCTCGACTCTCCTGTTAAGAGGAGGAGGAGGAGGAGGAGGAGGAGGAGGAGGAGGAGGAGGAGAGGAGGAGGAGGGAGCAGGAGAGAGAGGAGGAGGAGGAGGAGGAGGAGGAGGAGGAGGAGGAGGAGGAGGAGGAGGAGGAGGAGGAGCCCGGAGCCCGTCGGCTTTCGGGTCATCATTCGGCTCTCCGTGCAGTCTGGGACGATCCGGGCACCCCCGGAACGCTCTCGGCGAGGCGCAGCCGCTTGAATGCATCCCGAGGCTGGGAAGCCGCCGAGAACCTACGAAGACGACCGACAAGCTTGAACCTCGAACCGAAAACTCCCGAACTTCCCTGATCGGCGCGCCGCCGATGTGTTCCCCCCGAACCCCGAACCTCGAACCTCGAACCGATGCAAACGACCGAACCTCGAGCCTCGAACCCCAAACCGACGAACCCGACCGAAATCCTGGAACGTCCGAGATTCGAGATTGTTGGGTCGTGTTTGAGGATCGAGGCTCGAAGCCCAAACCTCGAGCCGACCTCGAGGTAGAGACCCTGCGGGGGGCCGAGGGGAGGGGAGGTAGAGCAGGGACCGACCGTCCCAGCATTCCTATATGCCTACCACGACGTGTTCTTAGAATCCCTAAAACGTTCCAATACCGAAAACAACGTTCTTGGAGCATCAACCCGATGTGCTCGAACAAGACAGGCTCAGCCAGAAAGGTTCGTAGAACATGTCGTGCCAACCACCAAAGGCTCCCAGAACAGTCTCTGGTGGGCCTACATCAAGGGGCCCAAGGACACACGAAGAAATACACACAAATAAAAGGATTCCACACATTTTCCCACATTTTCTGGGTTTCTGTCTTCCCCCCCATGTCCTATATTTTCCCATATTTTCGGGGGAATCCACGATTAATTGTGTCTGTGTGTTTTTTCTCCCCTCCTGACTATCGGCGAGCCAGGACGCTTCGCCGCTGCTCGAGGGGCGGGGGCGGGGGCGGCTGCCGGCTCGCCTTGGCCGGCGCGGGCGTGCAGGGCGCGGCCGGCGCGGGCACGCAGGACTCCCCCGCGTCGCCCTGGAGCGGCGGCGCGGGACGCTGCGCAGGGGGAGGACTGCTTTTTGGGCTGCTGCAGCCAGTCCGCATCATAAGGATGCGCGGTAAGGATGCAATGAGGTCGGGCACGTCCACCTACACGCACTAAAACATGGTCAAAACATATCCCAGAAAACAAAAATAGTCAAAGCCTCGTCCCCAGACAATGTTTGTACTATTTTTGAATATTCCCCCTGTAGGGGGACACGCCCGACTAACGGATACAAGGGCCTTGGAGGCCCATGTGGACGTTGTTCGAACGAGGTTGGCCAGCGAAAGTCGCTGAGGATGGGCCGGAGGGGCAAGGATGCAAAGGTACCATTCGGAAGGTTGCCCATCCTTACTATGCGGGCTGACTGTATGACGGGGGCCACTGCCCTACTACATGTGCGACACCATGCCAAGGGAAATAAGGACGACAGGGGGGCCCTATATTCTGGGCCACTTCGGACCCAGGGCGGCGTGCCTGGAAGAATTGACCAACGGTACCTGCCGCCCCACAGGAGGGGGAGGAGGAGGAGGAGGAGGAGGAGAAGGAGGAGGAGGAGGAGGAGGAGGAGGAGGACGAGGAGGAGGACGAGGAGAAGGAGGAGGGGAGGAGGAGCGGCGGGTAGGAGGAGGAAGAGGAGCGAGGAGGAGGAAGAGGCACCACGGCGGCGCGGGCGCGGCCCGAGTGGCCCCCAGTATGCAGCAGCGGGGGCCCCCTCTGGCAAGACGAAGCCAGGACGAGGACACATAACCGGGTGAAGGTAAGTGGAGAATCTTTGAGATCCAGTGGGCTTCTCTAGAAGAACACAAAGAAACGGCATAAATGAAGGGGCCCCAGGGCACACAAATATATACAAAATAAGAATATTCAACATATGTTCCCATATGTTTGGGGTTTTTGTCTTCCCCCCACTTCCCATATTTTCCCATACTTTCCTGGGAATCGACGATTAATTGTGTCTGCGTGCTTTTGCCTCCTGAATAAACATACATGTTTGGCGTTCAGCGTGGATTTCTTGGATCCGCGCTGGAGGCGCCGCCAAAGGGGGAATCCAGCGCGGCTGCACGAGACCCGCGCGGAGCGCCAGACCTTTCATGTTGATGCCGTTTCCATTTTCCTCATCCTGGCCTTTGGACGGGCGTGTCCCCCTACAGGCTGATCCTGGTGGATTGTTTAAACTTTTTTGTTAAAAGGAAACAGCCAATAAGTATCCTTTACACAAAATTCGAAAAGTCGTCCGCTGACGATCTTCCTTACTGTTTTTGAATATTCGTCCTGTAGAGGGACATGCCCGCCCCAATCCTGGCCCCGCCAGGCCTGGCCTCCCAGCGCGGGGGCCCCCCCCGTGAGGAGCGGCGGGGGAGAACCACCCAGCATCGCATCGACACAATAGTCGGAGCGGCGATCGACACGAGCATCGGCTCGGCGGACAGCGGCCGCTGCGCCGGGAAAAGCCGAGTCGGCAGAAACCGGCAGGCCAGCAGGCCGTGATTGATGGATCGGGGCCCAGATCGGAATCCGAAGTCGAATCGCCTCGGCATCGGACTCCATCGAAATGGCATCGAAACGAAGCGGGGGTGTCGAAATGAGCCCCGAGGCCCCCGGGGGGGGGCCAGGCGCTGGCAGCGCGGCTCCTGTGTGCCACCGGGCCCCCGGACCGCCTCCTCGCACCCGCGAGGCCCAGCACGACCGACGCCGGGCATGTTGTCCTCGCGCGCGAGCGCAGCGGCCCTGTTGCACTGGGCTTCAGAGGGTCGTCGTCGCCGTCGTCGTCGTCGTCGTCGTCATCCTCCTCCTCCTCCTCCTCCTCGCCCTCCTCGTCCTCCTCCTCCTCCTCCTCCTCCTCCTCCTCCTCCTCCTCCTCTTCCTCCTCCTCGTCGTCCTCGTCGTCCTCGTCGTCCTCGTTGTCCTCGTCGTCCTCCTTGTCAGAACGAGGAGGATTGACGATTCTGTCATTGTGCTGCCGTTCCTCCTTCTCGCCTCAACCCGCACGGTTACGATGAGCCCTCGTGGGCTCCTCTTCTTGAGCTTTCCCTCTTCGCACAAGCTGTTTCCAGTCTCTGTGTGCCGCTGCCTGACTTTAATTTGCTACTGAGGCTCAATCGCCGAAGTCGGATCTCTGGCTTTTCAATAGGAGCCGTACATTGACGCAACAACTGTGCAGCTCATGGCCGTGCAGCCCCAGTCAGGATGATGATGCTGCTGCTGCTGATGATGATGATGATGGTGATGATGATTATGTTGTTGCTGATAGTGGTGATGATGATAAGTATGCTGATTAGTATGATGATGGTGATGCTGCTGCTGATGATGATGCTGGTGATTCTGATGCTGCTGCTGCTGGTGATGTTGTTGGTGATAGAGATGCTATTGTTGATGATGATGATGATGATGATGATGATGATGATGATGATGATGATGATGATGATGATGATGATGATGATGACCATGATGATGAGGAAGAGGAGGGTTCTCTGGCAGTCTCGGCAGAGGCCGAGCTGCACGTGAGCCTGCATTTTCGCCAGACCCTCACCAAAAACAGCCCCCTGCCGTGGCTCACGGGCCAGACTCACCTCCTCGGCGCGCCGCTGTCGCGGCGCCGGCCGCCGCCTGCGCGCCGCGTGCCCTGGCGAGCAGCAGGTCTCGTCGGGGCCGCGGGCGGCAGGCAGGGCAAGGCAGGCGAGGCAAGGCAGAGCGCTCCTGCACCGCAGGCGATCTTGGCCCGAGGAGCCCCCAAGGGGGCGAGACGCGTAGCCTCTTTCCCTTTCCGCTTGCGACTCGATCCAAAATACGGCGAGGGCATTCGATACGGAACCGTTAAATAAAACATCCAGGGTCTGAAAACCGAGAAAGCACAAGTTCAAGCTTGACCATGGACCCCCCACCGCGGCCCTCATGAGATAGGGAATCCTCCAAGGTCTGACGCCTCCTGGGCACATTCCTCAACGAACGCCCCCACCGTAGGTGCGGGCCTAGAAAGGCCAGGTGCGATGGGCTGGGGCCCGCTCAGAGCTCGATCGTGTGCGTGAGACATGTGGCATTTCCGAGGCTTCCCACTGGGGCTCCAACCAATCTTCGAGCAGGTTTGTAAACTGGCCCCAGTTCCGCAGAAACTCACGATTCACCGAGGAGGATGAGGAGGAGAAGGAGGAGAAGGAGGAGAAGAAGAGAGGAAAGGAAGGAGGAGAAGGGTGAGAAGGAGAACGAGGCCGAGGAGACCGTACCCAAATTCTACACCTGAGCCCCTGAAAGCCCCTCATGCTGGCCGCATCCGACGTCGAAGCTACATACGACGCGCCCGTGCGCGAAAGGCTCGGGTGGGCGGAGCTCTCATCTAGAGGCCTCCCAATGGGGTCCGAGTAGATGAGGCTGGAGGATCGCGTCGCATCGCCGATGCATCGGCGAGGCGCTCGATGCATCGGCGACGTCGGCGTGCAGAACATCGGGCTCCACATCGAGCCGCATCGCCGATGCATCGGCGATGCGGTGCGATCCTCCGACTCCGCCTACTGGGACCCCATCAGGGAGGCCCAAATAGGGAGAAGCCGCCCAGGGAAGCAGCCCATCCACCCCTAACGATGCTCCCTGGCCTTCGGGTCATAACTCTGCTCTCTGAGGCCGTCTGGAACGATCCGGGCCCGCCCAGAACGCTCGGCGAGGGGCAGCTGCTGGAACGCGTCCCGAGGCTGGAACACCGCCGACTACAGAAGAGAGAGAGAGAGAGAGAACGCCCGAAAGCCTTCCCTTCCTTACCCTCCCTGCCTCCCCAGGCACGCGATGTCCTTTTCAATACGGGGTCCCCAGAAGTGCCGACCCTTGTCCCGTGATCGGATCTTCATCCTGAGCCTTGTGGATGCCATGATAATGCACACCCTACAACCCGATTATTGAATTAAGGATGTGTGTGACATGTTCAGAAAATGATTCAAACATGTTTGAAACATGTTTTACCTAACAGCGAAGACTGATATGTTTCTAATGGTCTCAAAAGAAAGCATCATGACTCCCCAGGGGGGTCCGGGCAGGATCCGGGGAGAATCCGCGGATCCGCCAGTGACTATGGGGAACGCACCACTGAGGCTGAGGCTGAGGCCCCCAGCGCCGCCAGTGACTATGGGGAATACACCACTGAGGCTGAGGCTGAGGCCCCCAGCGCCGCCAGTGACTACGGGGAACGCACCACTGAGGCTGAGGCAGGCTGAGGCAGGCTGAGGCTGAGGCTGCGACTGCGACTGCCGTTGCCACTGCAACTGCCATTGCGATTGCGACTGCGACTGCGATTACACCAGAATTCTGCAACAGGACTCTTACATGAATCTCAAGGGCAATGCTTCCAGATATGCTTCTACACATCGCTGTTAGGTTGCTTTACCGGGATAATTTGTTCACATTAATGCTTAAGACATGCTTGAAACATGTTTCCTAGACGCTTGGAATGTATTTGGCAGCACGCTTCTTCTCCATTGCTCGACTTCCGCAGCCCGAGCCGTTTTCCTGGACGGTCTGCAGGGCCCAACGAGGGCCCCCGAAGGCCCGCAGCGACGACGCACGGGAACATCCGCTGCCCTGTCTTTGGTGCTCGCGTCGCGCGCACGCCTGGGTCGCCCCCTCCCCCCCCTGATGGGCCTCTTTTCCGCCACCACCTCCACTATAAGTTGGAGGTGGGAAGGTGGAGGAGGGCGGGGAGGAAGAGGAGGAGGAGGAGGAGGAGGAGGAGGAGGAGGAGGAGGAGGAGGAGGAGGAGAGTGGAGGAGGAGGAGGAGGAGGGGAGGAGGAGGAGGAGGAGGAGAGGAGGAGGAGGAGGAGGAGGAGGAGGAGGATGGGGAGGAGGAGGAGGAGGAGGAGGAGGAGGAGGAGGAGGAGAAGGACCCCCCCTCTCCAACTCATGGTGGTGGTGGAAGACACGCCCATCCCCCCCCCCGCCCGGGCCCGCGGCGGGCGCCTGCGTGGCGCGCATCCTGTTCCGCGGCGTGGCCCGGCCGGCCACCGGCGGGCGCGGCGAGGCGGGCGGCACCGAGGGCAGCCGCTCGCGGGCGGACTGGGGGCCCTGCGGCGGCTCGGCGGCGTCCTGCCGGGGCTCGGTGGGGCATGCCCCCCTACAGGCGGATTTTGGACCGAAAGGGAAAAACACTCCCAAAATATTCCAAAGGATGGAAGACATGCTACAAAAATGGTCCCCACACTATTTCCCAACCATCCTGTGGTGTTTGGTCCTCGTTTTGAAGAGACAGCACCACGCGTTCCACCTTCCTCCTTCCTC